CCCCCAACCAGTGGAGTCCTAATACACTCCTACACTTGGCACTTTAACCCCTTGAAAGCCATTCCTTCGAATAACAATAATACTGCAACGAGCTGTGTAAGAACACAGTCCCTGTCGCCTCCCCCTCTGCCGCCAGAGACCCTCCCTGCTCCTGTGCTATCCAAAGCATTTACTGCCTTTGACTTAGCATATGCTGTACTAGGTAGTAGGGCATAGTCCATAGTGCTCAATAACGTGTGCCCCTCTGTACATAACCTCGGAGTGATGTGAACAGTTTGATTCCAAAAAAAAAAAATCCACCAACCCACAAAAATGAAATAAACAGACTCTAGGGACTTGGCCAGTACCCCTCCTGTAATGTTCATTGTATATTTTTTGATGTACTATAACTGTTGGGGAAAAAAAAGGAAAATATTTTGATAATCAAATCTCATCGCTTTATTGTGTTACTCAGTAAATAAAAGGAACAAGTATAAACAAGCCAGGGCTTTCTCGTCATCTTTGCCTAGATCCAGACTAGCCAAAAGGAACGTGTGCGGGAAACCGTTCCCCTTGTCTTGTGGTTCTGAGAGGAGAGCCAGCACCGTGACAGACGCGTGGTTTGAGCTCCCACAGCCCTAAGCGTCGGATTGTTGTGGGCTAAGCACAGTTCCAGTGTCTCCCAGGCTAGGACCGAGGCTGCACTTAGCAAGAGCGGAGCTGCAGCGTGGTGGATGTAGGCACCATGAGTTGTGGGGCCTGACCCTGCCCTCAGCGACAGCACCTCGCCCTGCTCTGCGCCATGCAGGTGGGGCAGGACGTACATCCTGCAGACGACTTGACCAAGGCCTGAACGCTTCCGTACATAAAGGAGCAGAGGACGCTGCTGGGAAGGGGTAATATACTGGGCCAAAGCTACAGCGCCGCAGAGCCAGCCGGGGTAGTACGAGGGGGCGCTGCTCTGAGAGCAGCCACACCACACGGGATGCGCGGCCAGCAGAGAGACTCTTCTCACACGGTACCAGCATGATACAAAAACAGAGCAGCTCGCCAGCCAGGGAACTAGTTTCCTCTGGCCTGGCAGCGCTCAGCCGTGGAGCTGATCCCAACGTGACAGCTAGCCCCATGCTGTGCCTCCCTCGAGCAGCATGCATCCCCCAGGTCTGCCAGCCTGCGCCTGGGCAGGAGACGAGGCCTGCGAGGAGAGGAGCGTCACTCGGTGGTGAATCCTGGCTTCCCTGCAGTACCTCAAACGTCTGCAGGAGGGGGGCAGTGATAAGAGCAGTCCCTGTCCCAGCCCAGGCAGATGGGTCACCTCTCTCATCCTCAAAGACTGTCCCCAGCCCTGGGAAGCCCGTTCCTCCTGCCACCATGCTTCCCGCTGGCTCCGTGATGCCAAACAGGCTCAGCAGGAGGTGAATGCAGGGAAAAGAGGGAGGTGAGGGAGAGGAGGTGGCAATGAAGAGGAAGGGAAGGACAAGGCTCAGCCATCCATGGAGCCACTGCCCTTGTTCTTGCGACTCAGGGGAAAGGCAGACTTGCTTTGTGGCTGCGTCATCTTACTGGCCAGGTAGATGAACGGCTCAATCAGCGTGCGCCGGTCAGCCACGGACACCTCCCACAGCTTCACCTTCTCGCCCTTGGCCCAGTGCTGGGCTGCGTCGTGGTCCACTCGACGCTGCTCCTGCAGGTCACACTTGTTACCCAAAACCACAATGGTGACCTGTTCAAAAAATAAAGGTGAGAAGAATCCCTGAAGGTAACAAACAGTCGACCGGTACTGCCTGGCTCCGCCTTGATACCCTCAGTGCCAGGCCCAGGCCTGCTGCTAAATTCCCCTCTATGCTAAGGCCTTTAAAAAGACATGTTTCCAAGTGCTCCTTTCCGGCAGCTTCCCCATCATGTTCAGGCTGTGTATCTCAGACCAGCCCCAAAGCGGAAGGGCCTGTTGAGCTCGTGCATGCTCAGCACGCTGGTGGCCTGCAGAAGAGTCCAGTCCAGAAGGGCAGGAAGAAGAGAGCTCTCAAGTCAACAGCCCTGGAAACTGAAGGCCCCGTGTGAAATAACCAAAGCAGCAGACACGCAAGCCCTGTCCCCCTTCGCAAGAGAGGTGTGAACCTTCTTCCATGCAGAGCCTTTCTGCTCGATGGCTGTGGAATGATCATCGTGACAGAGCAAATACTCTCCCCGAAAGCATCCCAGGATGGTACCAATTACAGTTGAGGGTCTTACGAAACAGGACCTTGTCACCATCCTGTGACAAGCCAGAGGTGAGGAGAGTCTCTGGAAGAGAACTGGTGAACAAGGGGAGCAGACCCTGCTCTGCAGCCCCATTCCCTTGGGGAGATCGTGGTTACTCACCTCTTTCTTGTCTTTGGACTTGTCAATCTCCTTCTTGAGGAGCTCCACCCGCTTGAAGGATTCCTTGCTGTCGGTGCTATAGACGAGCACGTAGCCGTCAGTGCAGGAGAAGCAATGCTTGGGAAGCTCCAGGCCGTCCCGCAGACCCCGCGTGTCGTAAAAGCGCACCTGCTCGCGCACCCCGCGGTCTGTCTCGATGGAGCCCACGTAAATGTCCTCCTGGGTCTCGATCATCTCAGAACCTGCAAGCGAGGTGGGCTGGGGTGAGACAGGGAAGGCAGCCACGGCGCTGTCCCCACCGCTGTCCTGCTGGGCGGCCACCTCTCCTCCTGTGGGGGGGGGGGGGTATTGCTGGCCCGATGGGGCCAGGCCCTGCCCGCCCCCGCGCAGGCGCAGCGCAGGGCCGTCTCACAGCCCTCTCCTCCGCGTGGGCTTCGCAGAGCAACCGGGAACGCCGGCAGGCCCCTTCCAGGCTCCCCCACCACACCGGACGCACAGAAAACATAGATGGCC